TCGGACGCTTAACCGACTGCGCCACCCAGGCGCCCCATAATTTATTTCTTAACAAGAAGAATATGAAATAAATGGGCATGATGTTAACATTTAAAAAGTTGGATGACAAGGGCATGGAGTTCATTTTATTATTTGTTATATTTTTCTGAAGGCTTAAAAATATTTCATAACTTCTGAAGTGGTGGAGATTTAAAGTCCAGTTTGTTTACCACTGACCCTCAATACTGGGTTGGGCCCAGAGCAGGCCTCAGGAGTGTTTGTTGAGTGACTAAATGAGTGTCTATGGTGTAGGTGGAACTGCTTTGCCTCCGCTCTGCTCAGACCCCACCAAGATGGCACTGACCAGGGACAGGGGCAGACAGACCTGTGTGGCCTCAAAGAAGATTGGGACCTGGAGAGCATGCAGTGAAGGCAGGTATGGTTCAGTATGAGGAAGATCCACTAGTGCTAGGAGACTGAGCTTGCTGCCCTGGAGGCCCACGGAGGGGCCAGAGGAGCCTGGAGTTGTAGAGTGGACTCAGGCAGGGATATAAGTGTGCAAGGAAGAGGATGAATGTGGCTTCTAGCCTCGGAGTTCAGGATTCTTTGATAGGTACCCTGTTCCATGCCCGCCTTCTCTCCTAGAAGCTTCTTTTCTGGGCCCAGTAGGGTGGTGCTTAGTCAGGGCTGGGCAGAAGGGACCTAACCAGACTCCAGATTTACAGACTTCAACTCAGAGCAGGAAGAGAGCAGCCAGGCCTGGACTCTCTGTATTTTCCAAAGGAGGGACCAGAAGTCTAGGGAGGATACAGAACGTGGCCAAAATCATACAATAAACATGGTCAAGGCAAAACTCACCAGGCAACCGTCCCCCAGGCTGGGAGGGGGGGGTGTCCCCCAGTGACCCAACTTCTAAGCCTTCACCCAGGATGCACACACAGGCCCTATGGAGGCCTGCAGCTGCAGCTGGCACCAGCCTCACCTTCCTGTTCATGTGTTAGTCCTGAGGCCCTTGGCAAATATTGTCCCTGGTGGTGAGGCTCCAGGTAGGGCAGGCACCTCCCAGCTCACCTGAGCCAGATCTCCACCCAGCAACCTCCTAGCAGTCAGGGCTTCCAGCAGACGCCCCTACCCACCCAGGCCCAGGAAGGGGAGAGCTGCTCCACATCTCCCAGCACCTAACTCTATCACTGCTAACAGGGGCAGTGCAGGGATTCTACACAGTTCCTCAGTGGGGTGGGGATGAGCGGGAGAGCCATATTGAAAGTGACAACACCCACCTTTACTACCCCAGTTCCTGCTGCACCCAGTGGGCACAGCTGATTCATATCTTAGCTTTTCAATTCCTTCAAATATCCCAGAAGATGAAACAGTATGGCATGCAGGTGGGGGCTCTGGAATCAGAGAGAGCTGGGTTCAAATCCCAGGTACACCCTTCACCTCCCGGGTGAAGGGATGCAGGTCACCCAAGAGTTATGCCTCAGTTTCTTCATCTGTAACGGAGATGATAATAACAGAGCCCACCCACAGGTGTAAACGCCACGAAGGGAGGGAGACGGCTCTGACGTGGCCGCTACTACAGCCAGCTTCGTGCGAAAGTTGGGACCCAGAGCTGAGTGATCGCCCCTGGGTCCCCGGCGCCTCCACTCTCCTCGCGCGAGTGTCCGCAGCCCTCTCCCACTCCCCGGCTCCCGGACGCCGGGCGCGACGCCTGGCAGGGGTGAGGGGCTGGAAGCCGCAGTGCGGGCGGTGGGCCGGTGGCAGGGGAAATGCCCGGCCCCGCGCCCGTCCCCCAACCACCCACCCCACCCCGGGGCCGCCCCCACCGCGCACTTACCCCGCCGGCAGGGCGTCCGCGGCGCCGGCCGAGCTCATGGCGGAAGGGGGCAGGCAGCGTGCCCCCGCCGGACGCCAGCCGCGGCCCAGGTGCTGCCGCCGGAACCCCAAGGCGGGCGCTGTGAGGCCCAGCCGCAGACGCGGCGGCCGGGGAGGGGCGCGCCGGGGGCGGGGAAGGCGGCGGGGCCGGGCCGGGCCTCGGTCTGCCCGCCCGCGCAGTGGGGCCACGGCAGCCGCCCGTCTGTGGCCGACTGGACGCTGGGGCTGGGCGGGGGGCGGCCTCAGAATGCGACCCCCGCCCTCAGCTCTCACAGGTGAGAGGCCCGGGCACCCCAGGTCCGCCGGGCCCATGCCGTGTGCCCTCCGTGCGCAGCCCCAGGGGCCGGAGCTCGCTCCTGCCTCACACAGCCCCACCTATCTGTGGCCAGAAAGTTCGTAGGCCCGAGGTCCACCTCCCGGCCGCTCTCCCCTCCCCCACAGCTCCCGCCTCGCTGCGGCCCCCACCCGAGCCCTTCGTCATCCTACTGCATTGGTGGGGGGCATTCACGCCAGGAAACACGCGGCCTCCCGAGTCAGGCTTAGGTTTTAGCACTCCGTTTTGCCCGCTGCATGACTGTGCCTGCGGCAGCGGACAAGAAGATGGAAAATAGCGTGGTTTAACACTCACTAGTCAGTAGTTCACACTCGCCTTCTCAAATAGTCCCCATAGCTGCCATTTTACAGACAGAAGTTGAGGCACAGAGTTTATGTGACTTGCTCAAGTCAATTCACCTAATAAGTGGCTAGTTGTGATTGGAGCCTGGCCCTCCTGACTCCAAGGTGGACACACTCTTGCCTTTTTTCCCCCTTGGTGCCCTCCCCTCTGGGTCCCCAACCCGTATATGGGATCATGCATAACACTCCTCAAATGCTGTGTGCTTAGCCCTGAGGTATATGTCTAGGGCCAAGGTTGAAGCCCACCTGGCCTTCTGACAGAAAGAGCCACTGGCCCATGAAGAGTTAACCAGCCACCACTTCCAGGCCCCAGATGCTCTTAACCATGACTCATCAGAGCACGTGGCTGCCATTAGAACTGTCCCTTCACAAAGGCAGGGGACAGGAGGAGGAGGGACTCCAGGCCCCTGGATCAACCCTTAGCTCCAGGATGTCAGAAGAGGAAGCAGGAGGAGCCTGTAGAAGCAGCCATAGTAGGAAGATGGCTCAGACTAGGTTCAGGGAGAGCCAGGCAGATTGGGCCTTGCGGCAGAGGGGAGAGGTTAAGGAGATTACTGTTAAATCTAGACGGGCTTCCTGGAAAGGTAGTCAATTCTTATCCTGCCCATATGTGAGCAGAGGCTAGATGTTCACTTTCAAGGATCATTCTACTTCTCTGATTCTCAGGCACAGGCACAGAAAAGGTAATTAAATACAAGAAGCAGACTATAATGACATCCATAGACTGGAGGGGTGGGGTGAGGGTTTCTTGGAGAAGGTGGGCACAGAGTTGAGCCTTCAAGTTTATATTGTTTATACACAATAAAGTCATGGAAAGGGTGTACCAGATGGAAGAACAGCATGGGTGAAAGCAGGGAGGTGGGCAAAGGCACACAGATGTCAGCTGGAGTTTGTGAAGCTTGTGAGAAGACCAGCAATGTGCATGAAGAGGAGACTCGGTAAAGAGGCTGGGGCCCCTATCACACATCATGTCCTTTCAAGTCTCTGGGCACGTGTACACGCTCTTCCCTCTGCCTGGGACACACCTTCCTCCCTTGTTACTTATTATTCATTCATTTAATCAGGGTTAGATCCAGAAACTTACAATTGGAAGCCTTCTTTAAAAAAAAAAAAAAAAGAATACAAATTTACCAACATACAACTTCCAGGGTCCTGTGAGAGCCCTGGAAAGGGCCGAGTGAGGGGTTCTGAAGCTTTGTGCTACATTAGCTACAGGTAAATCTTTGTTGTATTTGACCAACATTTATTAAGGGCCTGACATATGCCAAAACTTCTGGCCCTGCAGGTTTCAGTTCAGGCACTACATCTAGCTGGGTCAGGGGCTTCCTAGGCACACACTGCCCCAACCCCCTCTGACCTGCCCTCATCACCCTGGGCTGACACCATCTGTGTGTGAGAGTGGTAGAGTGAGGTTTGTATGTGACTGTCTCTGCCATCAGACTGGGAGCTTTTGGAGGGTCGAATCTGGTCGGACATCTCTGTATCAGTGTCTGATTAATCACCAAATACCAACACTAGGCCTAGCACTTTACCATTTCCCTCTGAGGTAATTATAATAATGACTGATGTTCACCAAAAGCTTATTACATGACACACATGTTAAGTGTATAACATGGATTATCTCATTTAATCCTTTTAACCATCTCTCTGAGCCTCAGTTTCCTCATTAGTAAAATGGAAATACTGCCTGCGTCAAAGGGTGGTTGTGAGGATTAAGAATTCATGTATCTAAAATCCCCAGCACGGTGCCTGATGTGTAACACAGTTACATGCAGTGCTCTGATGGTGGTGATAGTGAGGTGGATGCCATTATTCTCAGCCTTTTACAGATGAAAACTGAAGCTCAGTAAGATAAGCAGCCATGCTGCCTTTGGAGCTGGAGCTGTCCCCACACAACAGTGGCAGTGATGCTAGAGCCACTCACCTCATGAGTCAGAGCAGCAAAGTGGCCCACCCCTCAGGAGGGCTCCACCCAGGCAGCTCCCAGCCCCCAGGAGCTCTGGGCCCAGCCGGAAGCCTGAGCAGCCTAGGAGTCATCATTATTTCTGCCTCCCAACCCAGGTGACTTGCCCATCCCCACCTGGAGCTGACAGCCAAGCTGTGGGGACCAGGAGAGTAACCGGAGTCCTGGGTCCCTTCCTTCCTTGCTGGGAGAGTTTCCTAGTGCTTTGTGCATGCAAGCCACCAGGCCTGCTTCCTCTCTTATTTTCTCCCTAACCTGCAAGAAAAATCACTGGGCTCACCACACCTGATGGCCCTGAGAACCTCCAGGGACTACTTTTACCAGCACCATCTCTCAGCTTAAGAAGGGCCCCAATAAATATCTGTTTCATGAGACCTCCTCAGGATGCTCCAAAAAGCTCCACAGTGGCTTTATCTCCCATCCCACAGATGAGAAAACTGAGGCTTGGACCAAGTGTGATTTGGAATCAGGTCTTGACTCTTTATCCCGTAGGAAAAGTATGTGGAAATGGGAGGGGTATCATAGAAATAAGGCTGTGAGCATGTGAACAGTGATGCCATTGTTGTAGAAACAGCTTAAGTTGTGAAATCGGCTCTGCCTCTCTCTCTCTGACCCTCAGTCTCCCCATCTGTAAACCTGAGATAACAGTGCCAGCCTTTCAGGGATGCTGTGAGGCTTACTGAACATTCCTTGGGTTGACCCTTGGCACCTTCCCCTTCATCCCCCCTTCTCAGTCCCTTCCTCCAGGCCTTTCCCTGGCATGAAGCACCTGTCCACTAGCTGTCTCTACCAATCCAGAACTAGCCATTGAGACTTTAGAGCTACACCCCCCCAACCCAGCGGGCTAGTGACTGTAAAGCGGGTTTTCTTAAAATGAATGGGCCCCACCCAACAGATTACAGGCTTGGGCAGGTTAATAATTCACAATCAACAGGCCCATCAAGAAAGGGCCCTTGAACAGGGCTGTGACAGTCACAGTTCTGAAATATTCCTTGGCAGGGACTCTTAGGGAGGACCTAGGCCTACGTGTTGGGCCAGCCTCCTCCCTCTCCATGAACTCTGACTCCCGCTAGCTTGGGAGTAACCTCGGGCAAGTTACTACCCCCACTCTAGCCCTTAGGTTCCTTTTCTCCCCATATAAAGGGGAGAGAAGGATGGACCAGGAGTTCAAAGCCCTTCCTTGCTCTGATGATCTTGGTTCTGGGATCTGAGCTCTTCTACCAAAGTCTGGTCTCCAGGAGCTGCTGAAAGTGGATCTAAGGAAGGAGCCCCAGTCACTCATGAGGGACCAAGAACTGTTTTGATTAAAAAAAAAAAAAAAAAAAAAAAAAAAAAAAAAAAAAAAGAGGCAGAGCTCTAATGAGGTGTTTCAGGCATTGACTGGCATCCTGCCGGGGGTTAGAAGTTGGACTGCACAGCCAGGAAGATCTGGCTGGATTCCTGGCCCCACCATGTCCTAGCTGTCCAGCCCCAAGAAAATGACTGTATGAGCTTGAGGCAGGGCAGGGAGTGATTCAGAGAGCAGGTGAGCACCCCAGCTCTGACACCCTGGATCAGTGACTTCAGCCCTGAAAGGGGGATGATGACAGCACCAACCTCATGGGCTGCTGCAAGGACTGAATGAGGTAACACACATAAAACACTTGGAACAGGGCCTTATTATTGATCTTTGAGTTTTAGTTTCCTTCCCTATAAAGCAGGGATAACAGGATTGCTGTGAACATGAAATGAGCAAATGGACCCAAAAGAGCTTTGGAACCATATAAGGCTGTCCAGAGAAGAGGGATTTCTTCTAAGATGTGCACACAGGCCTGGCCAGGACCACAAGGACATCCAATTGGACACGTACTACATACCTTCACGGCAAATGTGCAACCTCACACACTGCCAAAGGGAGCAGAAACTGGCAACATCTTTCAGAAGGGCAACTGGAATTTTGAATGAAAACCTTAGAAAGATGATGCAGTAACACCTAGGTAACAAATGTGTCTTTTTTGTTTGTTTGTTTGAATTTTATTTATTTAAGGGCGCCTGGGTGGCTCAGTTCGTTAAGCGTCTGACTTAGGCTCAAGTCATGATCTCATGGCTCGTGAGTTTGAGCCCCACATCGGGCTCTGTGCTGACAGCTCTGAGCCTGGAGCCTGCTTCAGATTCTGTGTCTCCCTCTCTGTCTGCCCATCCCCTGCTTGTGCTGTCTCTCTCTCTCAAAAATAAACAAACTTTAAAAAAATTTTTAAAGTTTGTTTATTTTTGAGAGAGAGAGAGAGAAAGTGTGTGAGCATGCAAAAGCTGGGGAGGGGCAAAGTGAGGGAGAGAATCCCAAGCAGGCTCCCCACCCTGGGCCCAGAGCCTGACATGGGGC